GGGAAAGAGCTCTAGTTCAGAAAAACAGTAATTTAAAAACATTTCTAAGACATAACACCATTTAATTTCAGTCATTTCTTAAAACGATCAGGCTCCAATACCAGATAAAAAGTCCAAGAAGAGTCTCCAACGACATTCCATGCTTCCCAGGAGGAAGAGCAGGAGACCATACAAAGAAACACTAAGCCTCTTTTTGGTTATCTGCGTATCATGCACTCACGCCTACCTGACCAAGGGAAGGAAGCGTTGCATACGCCATGGGCTGATTCATCATTCCCTTCTGCTTCATGATGAGCATGCGTTTCTGTTCCTCGCTCAGGTGCGCCATCTGAGCTTGCATCTGTGGCTGCTGGGACTGCTGCTGCTGCTGCTGGATGTATGGCATCATGGGGTTCTTGCTGGGATTTGCCATTGGTGGAGTCATCCTCTGACTCAGCTCAGCATTGAAGTGGGTCAGAGGCTTGGTGTTGCCATATGAAAGCATATTGGGCTGTTTGCTTAAGGAGTTTGTGCCCAGGTTATTTGGCTGCTGACTGATCATATTCATGTGATTTTGAGGGAGGTAGTTATTAATTGCGGTCTTCTGTGGATTGTTTGCCATAGGAGGCACTATTGGGTTTTGGTTGTTAAAGGCTTGGGGATACATCATTGGACTATTTGGTTTGTCTGCGCTGAAGGGTCCTCCGTATGGACTAGACGGAGGGCCCACAGGTGACCAGCTTGAGGGTTGATTTGGGTGCTGCTGCTGCTGCTTCTGCTGCATGAGCTTAGCTCTCTGCTGCTGCTGGGCTGCCATTTGCTTGAGCTGTTCAGCTGGAGACAAGTCAGCGGTTGGCATATTCACAGGCCCAGGCCCTGATCCTGCTGCTGATGGATTCATAAGATAGCCATTTCCAGATCGTGACTGCGACTGGCCTGGAGTGTGGGCCTGGCTGGGAGTTTGAGGTGACTGAACAACACAGTTTGCTGGTGAGCCGGCAGGGACTGGGGCTGGTGGGGCACTGGACACAGAAGCTATGCTGGAGGCTGTGGAGACGTTTGAAAACGGAGGACCAGAAGAAGAAGGCCTCACCTGGGGAGACCCTAATGGGACATGAGCGAATGGAGAATGAGATGGATCGCTTTTCACGCTTGCACTCTCTTGAGTCTCTGCGGCAGGCCTGGGAAATTCCGGCTCCTTCTTCTCTTCGAAGTCTTCATTGAACAAATCTTGTATATCGTCTTCTGGAACAGTGTTTGCCAGTTCGTCTATTAGCTCCTGCCACTCTTGATCATTCAGGTTAATGTCCGAGAAGAGCTTGTTCTGATTTGAAAGAGATGTTTCGGAAGTGTCTATGCAGCTGGGGTCATCCAAAGGCTCTTGCTTTAGCTCCTTGTTCTGCAGGATGTTAAAGCTATCATCTAGCTCATTGCAACCATTAACGGGGAGCTTTATCTCAGAAAGCCCACCGTTTTTACCCAAGTCTTCTAGACCACTACTGTGAGTTCCACTGTTCTGCAGGGGCAGGGGAGCTTTCATGTCAAGCTGGTGAAGAGGAGAAACAGCAGGCAAAGGCAAATTATTGGGCAAGCTGTTGATTGCCTCAATGCCTGGTACATCCTTCCGTATTCGCTTGCTGGTCGGAGAAAAGCTCCCATCACAAACGCCATTCTGCTGTTCTCCATTGAGAGGTGAACGTGCGCCTTCCAACTTCCTTTTGACTGTCTCTTGAAGCTGAAAGAAAAACAAGAAAAAAACCCCCACCATTAACCAGTTGCAGACACAAAAAAAGTGCTGATGAGCCTTAGGATAGATACTCCTCATCAAGCCTACTACTGACATTCAGTTTGTTGGATTTCATTCTTTTGCCTTGATCAGTTTGAGAAGATGGTTTAAAACAAAATAAACAAACAAACAAACAAAAAAACCCTAAACAAAACCCAAACAAACAAACAAAGAAACCCAAACCAAAGCTGCCCCTGAATAGGAGAGCAGAACTGTATAATATGTGCTCTCCGAGATACCAGAATTTTATGAAGCAATTTGACTAATTCCACTTTTTGGTGCCTAACACAGCGATGAGTCTTAAGTTGGACCAAAAAAAAAACCTGAATCACTAAAATTTCCTATTTATTCTGAAAATCTTTTTGTTGGCAGTTTCTAGAAGCTTCTTGAAAAATACCTGCAATACAATTGATTGCCTACTTTTATTGAAACATATGTTGTTGACACTAAATTTTTTGGAGAAAATTCATTAACATAGTTTCATTTGATTAGTCCTCTGTTCTTGGCTCCAAAGCATATTGAAAATCAGTTGTAAGCGAGGAAAAAAAATATCCACCCTAAAAATAAGAAGGTACTTTGCATGATATTAACTCAAATAATGAAAAAAAAAAAATTAAATAACTAGTGTGCTGGGAGCTAACATGAAAGATAAATAACTAACAGAAATGATAGCAAGACAAGTCTCCAGGAAAGCAATTAAACTAGAATATAAGACTGTTATTTAAAAAATAGCATATTGATATAAGCTTTCAGTCAGGTTAGAAGCAGCATAGCAAAGCACTGTAACAACCTACAGTGCTCTCCTGTCACACCAAACATTAAGTCCTCCACTTATGTACCAGGCTAAAAAAAGCATCCCTCTTCGGCTAAGGCAAAAAACAATAGTGGGGAGGGGAGGAAGCAAAGAGGTCACAGCTCTAGCAAACGCCTTCAGGACACACTTACATCCTTGATACTAGAACAATAGAAGACAAAATACTGAAAGATTTTATCAATTTTTAAAGTATTTTTACTGTATGAAAGTCTCAGGCATGCGGCTCCCACCCCTTCCCTAACCTAGAGGTCCTCAACCTTCTTTCTTCCCACAATCCAGCTCCCATTTATTTCTCCCATCCCAGAGAGCTAGCTCCCCTTTCATCCCATCTGTAAGAGAGGCAAGCAAACCCGTATCACCCCTAGTTTAGAGGGAGTGGTTCTGAGAAGGCTGTGCCCTTCTCTTGCCCCTCAGGCTGGTGTGGCCTCTTCAACATGCAGTGCAGAAGGACATGGCCACTGCATGTGTTGCTGCAGTCCCACCTGAACACATGCGGGACTCTAAGCTACGTACTGGTCCTCTGCAGAGATGTGACCTTTATAACAAGGAAGAAAGGCAAGTCTATGAGTTTTTAATCAGCTCATCAACTCCCTGATTTGAACTGGAGCAAAAGAGCTTTTTTATGTGGAAGAACAATTAACACACGGCTAAGAGCCACCAGCAGGACCCTGTTGGCATTCATGCCCAAGACTTTGCTGCCTGTTCCCCTTGCACAAAGTCAATGAATGTCAAGCCTCCCTCAGGCTGAAATTCCTTCTCCTCTTGGCTTCTGTGGTGCTGCAGCACAGAGACTGTGCTGCAACACAGCTTCTCTGTGACCACAGCCTCTGCCATGCAGACTACTGCTGCTCCAGTGCAAGATGCCTGCATAGCTCCACAGGAGCTGACCTTTCACTGGGCCTTTCCCCACCCCTGGTTTCTGAGAGTCAGGAAACAGCAAAGCCAGTGGTTTCGCTCTCCCTGTGGCACAGGCTGCGATGGGGAGCCCACCTGCAGCAAGCCAGACATTAGGAAGGCTGTGAGCATGTTTTGGACCTCCCCACTGTGTGTGTGGATTCCCCATCACTGGCTCCCACTCTTCTCTTCCCTTCACCCAGGCACAGCAGCTCTTGCCCCCAGAAGCTCCACAGTTGCTCAGGGATGGGGTCCTGCATGTGGCAGCAGACACAGGCAGGAGCACACACCACACAGGTGTTCTCTCAATGAAAGCCCACTCAAGTTAACACTCAAGTTAATCAACCGTGGTCTGCAGGAGCACACCGTGCTGCATGGAACCCTACAACACAGGCATCACCTTTTCATTTCTCTGTGCCATGACAGTAGCAAGCTCTAGCAAGAAGCTTGCCCAGGGGTGGTAATTGCCTCATCTGCGCCAGTTAACAGCAACATGGAAGGTAAGTCAACACCCTGGCTAGTGTGAAGGAGAAAAATCAGATCCCACAAGGAGGTTTATGATATGGCTCTCACCTCCGCTGCTTCCCTTCCTTAAACACCCATGTTAAGCTGAACACCACCGTATGGCATTACAGCTCCCTGCTGCTTTTTGACCGGTGTAACTGGTGTGTGGCAGAAGACTACAGCTGAGCCACTGGGCTTGTTTCACTGATCTTTATATAGCCCTGATTCAGATCCCAGAGACAAGAAAAGGACAATACCGATCTGGTAATGGCCCTGCTTCACAAGTACAACAGCACAGTCACTTCTGAGATGCCTTTCTTCGGAGGAAGAGCAAGCACAACCTGGCCTCAAATGCAGGTGGTCAGTTACACAGTTGACATAATGGCTTAAAATCGCGTATGTAAATGTGGCCCCTAATGGGCCACTGACACGCTTTGCAGCTGAAATCACCCATTTCAGCTCCTAAGCTCTCTCAATACAAAGTCTTTGCCTTCCACATCAGGAAAACAGTCACTGAACAGGACCTGACTCAAGACCAAGTTCAGCAGACATGTACACGCAAAAACAGGGGTCAAAGAGATGTCCAGAACTTGTGATGGCCCTTTGCCCTGAGCTCATACTGGCCAAATGCTGGGCTAAAGTAAGAACAGCCATACCAAAGGACCAGGTAACACACTTCTAGTCATAAAAAAAAGTTCATATAAGGAAGTGATGGGGAAAAAAATCACCATAATGACAACTCAGGGATTATGGAGAGCAATTATTTCCTGAGAAATACAAGATAACTGATCCATGCATTTCACAACAGTTTGAAAGTGAGCCTTACAGAATATTGGTGATACACTTTCACATCATTTCACACTTTGAGGTTTCACATTATTTACTAATTTATCCTGAATCCACCACCTTATTTGTACATGAGTGTTTACCAAAAGAATCAAAACTGGATAGTGGCAAATAACCAGCCCTAAAAATATCAGCTCCTAAAGTTTCATTATGTGCTGAAACTTGGATGCCCCCCTGTACAAATACACAGCGGCTTTAGTGAAAAGCAAAAGCAGGCCCAGCATATAAGTATTAATAATTGTGTTTATCATGCCTTACAACAGAAAGCAGCTTTAACACGGAAATTATTTTCCATCAAAGATCAAATGTACAGAAATTGTGCCTTGTTGCAAGCAAAAACAAAATGAAGCCTATTCTAAGTCTGTATCTCGATAATATTCTCCTGAAACACAGGTTTTAGGATTCAGGGGGTTAACAGCCTTTGCAGGTGGGGAAGCACCCTGTCTCTGGCATTTTGGGGGTGGAGCGGGGTGTGTTGGGAGCCGTAACAACAGATGCATTTCTTCTTTTTGGGGTATAACACAGCAATATTCTTAAGCCAATTATTTCAATGCAAACGTTCAGTTTCATATCTTGAAAGCACCTCTCTTAGGAAGACAGACTGAGAAAGCTGAGCTTATTCAGCCTGGAGAAGGCTTTAGGGAGACCTTAGAGCAGTTTCCAGTGCCTAAAGGGGCTACAAGAAATCTGGAGAGGGACTTTATACAAGGGCTTTTAGGGATAAGAAAAGGGGGAATGGCTTTAAACTGGCAGAGGGGA